ATGAGATGATCCTTAATCCCCTCTGGTTCAGAGATTATTTGAACTGGTTGCCAGCTGGTTGCTCAGGCCCTTAGCTATGACTGCTAAGTGCTCAAAGTCTGCCCCTCCTATGAGGTTTAGGAGGAAAACAGTTGCCCACCTCACAGCTGCAACCACCCCCATTCTCCATCCTCAGCCTCTTCATCTGTGGGCTGCTTGTCCAGCACCCAGAAGTACCCACTTGGACCAGAAAGGCCCTTGGAATCATCATTTACTGTCAAACCATGGAATAAGCTGGGCCTCAGTTCATCATCTTTTTTTTAAGAATATTACTCTCGCATGTTTTTTCTCACACATCACTATATTCTCAAACACTACCAGCAGTTCCAAAATCTATCCAGAAATACAGTCAAGGGACTTCCCTGGTGGTCCAGTGGTTAAGACTCTGCACTGCCACTGCTGGAGGCACAAGTTTGATCCCTGATTGAGGAACTAGAGTGTGACATCTCATGGCCAAAACAACAAAACAAAACAACCAAAAATACAGTCAAATAATTATGGAAATTTGACACAGGAAATATGAAGTACTGGATCAGACCTATCAGGTTGAAATACAAAAATCTGAACATTTTCCACCTAAGTCATTCCCTGGAGGGTAGAATTTATTGAATAGGAATAGTCACTATTTGTGATGCAAATACCATCACCAAATTATTAACCTATCTTGGGGATTTTGTAAAAATCTATGAACAATGTTGAACTAAAAGGACTCTTTTAGTTAAAGGATTTGAAATACACATGTTTGGAATTCCTATCAATGAGAAATCATCATTGATTTTCAGATGGCCTTCTTGGTCTATTTTTCAAAGACCCGAAAACTCATTCAGAATTCCCAGAACTGCAATATAATTAAGTATCTATTAGACTAAACCAATATGTTAATAATCTCCTATAATTATTCACAATACACTTTCTGCTTTTATCCATCTGTTCCTTATTATCATCCTAGGAGATGGTTATCACACCCATTTCATAGTGGAAGAGTTACAGAGATACTTCATCTTTAAAATAGGGATAATATTAAATATTAGATAACATGAGAATGTTCCACCCAGAGCTTGGCCCATAGCCCCAAACAGCAAATGATAGTTTTCTGAACTCACCCAGACACAAATAGCTCACACTTCTTACCCAACTACCAAGAAGTCAATACTGTTTAATGACCAGAAGTTTGGGCACTTTAGGTCAAGAGAGAGGTGATTCTACTAGAACCAATATCCCACCCCTCCTTATCACCACCTCCCCACCTTTGAGGCTCTTATAAGGGGCCCTCAGGCACTCAAAATGCAGAGGATGTGGCTCCTCACCCAGCAATGGGCTCGATAGATGCTCAATAGGTATCTCCAGAGTGGGTGAGTCCCATCTAGACAGGTCTGGACAAGTAGGACTAGGTCTTGCCACCCACCCCACCCCTAGAAGCCATTCCACATATAAACCTAACATTTTTGGGTCCCTTTGAGATGTCGCTGTATTCCCTGGAGGCACAATATGATAACGTCTTCTGTGACTTTTCAATTATAAAGTCAGATGTGAAAACTGAACAAAACCTTAGAAGTCAGATATAAGCTCCACTTCACAAAGAACCGAGGCCTGGACAACTTGGGTAGCTTTTGCAGGTCAGAGATAATACCCGCATCAAAACCCAGCAGGAATCCTGACTCCTAGTACAGTGAGCTTCTTCAGGTACAGGCAAGCCCATCACCACCCTGTGTGCAGAAACATCACTATGGGTGGCAAAGGCCAGGAGTCACTCATCAGGCAGGAAGGCCATGAGGCCACAACTGGAAACGACTTCAGTCTCATAGGGTTCAACCCCTTCATTTACGGCAGAGGATGAAAGCAAACTGCCCAGAACAGGAGGAGCTGAGCCCAGTCCTCCACCAGCCTGCAGGGTCTCCTGGGTCAGGGGTTGTGTCTCCTCCACCAGCCTGCAGGGTCTCCTGGGTCAGGGGTTGTGTCTCCTCCACCAGCCTGGGGACTCCTCTTCAGGTTAGGGCCCGGTCACTGCAGAGAAAGAGACGAAAGAGGCAGGGTGCGCTCTGGAAAAGCTCAGAGGCTGACACAGAGCCCCATTCCTTGCTCCTACCCCCAACCTCACAAAGTAGAGAGGGAGGCTGGTGTGGGGTCGCACAGGGCCTGGGAATTCCGTGGGCTGTCCACAGCCATGACAGATCCTTGTCCTCTCCAAGTCCCAGAGGGACATTTGTCCGGGTGGAGGAAACTCTCACCAGCTGCAGAAAACACCCCACTGGGGCCTTGGGCGCACAGCCAGAGTGCAGAGCCTGGATCTAGTCTCAGAATCAAGACCCCGCACCTTGGCTGACCTCCTCACTTCCCCTCCTGGCTGTAAGGGTGGGAGTTGAGTGTGTGCGCTAGTGCCCAACTCACTGAACCAGGGCTGGACTTGTGGACAAACGAGGCTTGGGGGCAAACTTCAGCCTGGAGGGGCTTGTGCTCTCAGGAGAGGTGCAAGCAGGGGTTCTGCCTGTCTGCCAGTTACTAGGTGCCAGGAATCAGCTTTTGGGGAGGGAACTGTGGTCCCCTGGGGCTCAGCCCCTTCCCTACCCACCCCTTTGACCCCGGCAGGAGGCAGCTGTTACCCTTCCCAAAGACAAGGCTAATGCAGGTGAGGAGGGGCAGTCGGGAGGGGGCCTGGAGTCAAGCGGACGGGGTTCCAACCATCCCACATCTTCAATCATAACCAAGGAAAGGCCCATTCCATCTCCAGGCCTCCCTTTCCTCATCCGTGAAATGGGAACAGAGACATTCTTCCTGTCCTTGAGGCCACCAGCAAGGTCAGAGTCAGGCCTGGGCACTGCAGAGCCCGCTTTCCTTCAAGACGGGGACTGTCATGCCTATAGCCAACATCTAGCCTCAGGGAAGGAGAAAGCTGACAGGGGGCCTGGTACAGTATCCATGGGGACTCTGGCCCACCCCTTCTATCTCCTCCTCCTCTTCCTGTCAGGTCTCTGGGGCGGAAAGTCTTGGCTATTTCTGGCTGCCGCCTCCAGGCTTCAGGCTTCCCAGACTCACACAAGTGGTCCCCACACCCCGGCCCTGCTTTGATGGGGTGAACTGGACTGAGAGTTCCCTGGCAAGAAAGGCACACTCGAGCTGGATCTACAGATTGATACGTGAGGATCTATGCATGCATGTGTCTTGGGGGGAGGGAAGTTCCCCAGCTCCCCTCCCAAGTACAGCTTTATCACTATGAGCCACTGAGCCACTCCATCCTCCTGAAGACCTGCAGCTGAAAACCTCCTGAGGGGAAGATACATCCTACACAGGGCTGGGCCTCAGTTAACCCACTTGTAGCACAAAGTAGCAGAGAAGTTAACCACTAAGTCCCTCCGGCTGACATTTTAGAACCCAGAGTCTTAGCTGGTAACCCAGGAAAGTTCCAGGAAAGATGGATAGCAGGAGGCCTGGGGCTCTCTGCCCAGCTACACAACTCTGGGCAATTCCCTTTCTGAGGTTTCCCTGGTGGTTCAGGTGGTAAAGAATCTGCCTGCAATGTAGGAGACCCGGGTTGGATCCCTGGGTCAGGAAGATCCCTTTCAGAAGGAAATGGCAACCCACTCCAGTATTCTTGCCTGGAGAATTTCAAGAACAGAGGAGCTTGGTGGGCTATAGTCCAGGCTATTGCAAAGGGCCAGACACCACTCAGCAACTAACATTTTCACTTTCACACTGTAAATGAAGGGGTTGAATCATAGGAGACCGAAATTCCTTCTAACTATCACCTCCTGGCACAAAGTGACTGCCCAGCATTTGTAGCACAGAGAGGAAAGAGAGCACAACGGTCAGGGATGTAGGTTCTGGGATCAGACTGGCTGTCCTCCAGTCCTAGCTGTGCTGCTCTCTGGCCATGTCACCTCGGCCAGGTGAGCAAACCTCTTGATGGCTCTGTCTCATCTATGAGTTTAATAATATTTGACTCATGCATGCTATAAGCAATAAATGGATAACATCTATCAACTGAGGGAAAATAACAGTATCTGCTCATCAGATTGTTATAAGGATTATAGAAGTTAAAGTGCTCACAAAAAGGCCTGCAGTGCAGTTTAAGGCTTCACTTAAACAGGAGAAGCCTGTCTCCTTCCCATCCACCGGCACAGAGTCCCCTTAGCAGCGCCACTTTTCTTTTCCCCCAGATCTGAGCTATCCAGCAATGGATGAGTAGGGAGTACCAAGTGGGGAATAGATATCAGCTTCCCGTTTCCATCCTGAGTCAGAGACTACTTCCACACTCAAGGGACTTACTGAACGTTCACCCGTTACCCACCCATTTTACAAAGCAGGAAATCAAGGTTCAAAGAGAAACTGGACTAGCCAGATTCAGGGGCAGAGGCCCAAGGCAAAGGAAAATCTGCCCTGGACTCCAGCCTGGTCCTGGACAGACTTTACCTCTGTCTGTCCCTCTGGCGCCCAAGTACCCCTGCCCCACCAACCAAAGCATAAGCCAGGTATTAACCTCGTCCTTGCATTTTCCCAGCTGAATGACCTTGAAAAGCCATATAAATTCTCTGACCTTCATTCTGAACACTTCAGATATTGTCCAAATATCATGCAATAGGTGTTAATTATTGGCCCCATTTTGAGGAAGCAGAGGGTCAGAGTTAGGGTATCTGCACAAGGGGTTACAGCTGATTTAGTGCAGGTTAAATGGGATATCTTTGTAAACTGTCCTCACGGTGCCCTAAGGCCCGTAGGTGCCCACTATATGGTCACTATTATTATTATTTATCACACGGAAGTGAGTGACCCGGCAGGTGTCCAGATGCCCTCCGGGCCCTCGGCCATCCAGCCTGCTGGCCACCACATCACATGAGCCCTACTATCTTTAGCCAGGGAGATATTTATATCCCCCGAGGGAAGTTTCTGTCGCTGCGGGGGAGCCCCAGTGTGGGTGGCCGCTGCGTCCAGGCCCCCGGAGGTGGCCTCTGCCCCTCGAGCCCGCCATGCCGCAGGGCCCAGAGACCCCGGTGCAAGTGTGGGTGGGCAGCCAACTCTTCCAGGCAGACCGGGCCCTGCTAGTGGAGCACTGCGGCTTCTTCAGCGGCCTCTTCCGCTCGGGCATGAGGGAGGCGCGCGCCGCCGAGGTGCACCTGGGCGCACTGAGCCCGGACGGCTTCCGCACCACGCTGCGGGTGCTGCGCGGTGAGCGTCCAGCGCTGGCGGCTGCCGACGAGCTGCTGCAGGCCGTGGAGTGCGCCGCCTTCCTGCAGGCGCCGGCGCTGGCGCGCTTCCTAGAGCACAGCCTCACGTCGGAGAACTGCGCGCTGCTGTGCGACGCGGCCGCAGCCTTCGGCCTGCACGACGTCTTCCACAGCGCCGCGCTCTTCATCCGCGACGGCGCCCACGAGCTGGCGGCCGAGCTGGCGCTGCCCGAGGCCCGCACCTACGTGGCGGCGCTGCGGCCCAGCAGCTACGTGGCCGTGAGCACACATGCGCCGGCGCCCGGCTTCCTGGAGGACCCTTCGCGCACCATGTGCTACCTGGATGAGGAGGAGGACACCTGGCGCACGCTGGCCGCGCTGCCCCTGGAGGCCAGCACGCTCCTGGCTGGCGTGGCCACGCTGGGCAACAAGCTGTACATTGTGGGGGGTGTGCGGGGCCCCAACAAGGAGGTGGTGGACCTGGGCTTCTGCTACGACCCCGACGGCGGAACGTGGCGCGAGTTCCCCAGCCCCCACCAGCCGCGCTACGACACGGCACTGGCCGGCTTCGAGGGCCACCTCTATGCCATCGGGGGTGAGTTCCAGAGGACAGCCATGAGCTCGGTGGAGCGCTACGACCCGGCCTCGGGCTGCTGGAGCTTCATGGCCGACTTGCCGCAGCCAGCTGCCGGGGTACCCTGCGCACACGCCCGCGGCCGCCTCTTCGTGTGTCTGTGGCAGCCGGCAGACACGACGGCCGTAGTGGAGTACACTGTGCGGGCTGATGAGTGGCTGCCCGTGGCCGAGCTGCGGCGCCCGCAGAGCTATGGCCACTGCATGGTGGCCCACCGCGACAGCCTCTACGTGGTGCGTAACGGACCTAAGGATGACTTCCTGCACTGCGCCATCGACTGCCTCAACCTAGCCACGGGCCAGTGGACAGCGCTGCCTGGTCAGTTCGTGAACAGCAAAGGCGCGCTCTTCACTGCCGTGGTGCGCGGCGACACCGTCTATACGGTCAACCGCGTGTTCACCCTGCTCTATGCCATCGAGGGCGGCTCCTGGCGGCTGCTTAGGGAGAAGGCCGGCTTCCCACGGCCCGGTTCCTTGCAGACCTTTCTCCTGAGGCTGCCTCCGGGTGCCCGGGGCCCTGTGGCCTCGACAACCCCAGAACTGTGATCCTTGGGCTGGACTTTTGAACTTAGATGCCCAGAGTCTTCTGTGAGTTATGGCTGAGTCTATGAGACTGACCTTAGGAGCTGCCGGAAACTTCAGGCCCTGGTTGAGATGTTCAGGGTCTTGTGACTTCTGGTTGTGTGAAGGTATCCAAGAATCTCAGGAAGCATAGACTGGGGATCTCAACCCTCAATTACTTGGACTCTCTTGAGAGCTGGTGGGTCACAATATCAGTGGAAGGGATGGGAGATAGGATTTCAATAATCCAGGCTTGTGTGTTAAAGGGCCAGTAATTGAGGACCGGCTGGGAGTGGGTTAAGTGATGTTAATGAAACTGCCAGTCAAGTAAGAATTAGACACCTACTGTGTGCTCGCTACGGCACTGGGCCTAATGTGACTGTAGTTACCAGACAGGGGTTCAAAAGCTTAGAATCTAGCCCAGGACAACAGAGGGTTTACATGCACTTGTCTTGATCCACAGAGGGCTCAAGGCAACTTACAAAAACAAACAAGAAACAAACCCTGCAATATAATAAAACAAAGTACTGAAGAAATCAGGACAAAGGGAAAATAGGGAGAGGGAAAATATGTTATTCCAGGCAGGAGAATGGTAAACAAACTGTACTAAGACAGACAGGATAATTAGCTGCTAAAGGGGGAGATTCAGAAGAGGAGAGACAGGGAAAGTTGGGCAGATGGGAAGGGTCTGTGAGCCCTGCCTTTGAGGCAGAGCAGCTATAGATGGAGGCCTCTGGGGAGGCATCGAGGCTGGCCTGGCCTGTGGAGAGGGAAACTGAGCTGCCCCTGGAGTGAGACCTGTGAGGGAGAAAGAGATCGCCGCACCATTTAATGGGATGTGGGCCCACAGGAGAGAACCCAGTCAGAAGTCTCTTACCCACTGCCTTTTTTGTCATCACCCCAGGGGCAGTGGACTGTTAATTTTCATGATTTCAGGTTACTCAAAGTATGAGACCAATTTAGAGCAGGTCTGATGGTGGCTCTGCTGGTAAAGAATCTGCCTGCCAATGCAGGACACATGGGTTTGATCCCTGGGTCGGGAAGATCCCCTGGAGAAGGAAATGGCAACCCACTCCAGTATTCTTGCTTGGGAAATCCCATGGACAGAGCAGCCTGGTGAGCTACAGTCTATAGGGTTGCAGAGAGTCAGATGGGACTTAGTAACTAAACAAACAGCCTCCATTGCTGCCATTCCCTGGACCTGGAATGCCTTTCGCTCTGTTGCCTCTGTACCTACCTCCTCCGTGCAGGGTTGGCTGTTCCCAACCTTGACTACCTGCATTGCTCATTGGACCCCTGGCTGACATCATTGTCCATGTGTCTGTGTGCACATCCGTGCAGCTGTGCACATATGCAGATAGCAAGAACAGAGATCTTATTGTGCTGTCAGCTGAGCTGGGGCACTTTCCTACCTGCAGAATAAAATGATGAAATCCTACAAATGAACCTATCTATGAAAGAGAAGCAGGCTCACAGACATAGAGAACAGGCTTGGAGTTGCCACGGACGAGGAGGGCTTGGGAGGGAAGGATTGAAAGTCTGGGTTTAGTAGATACAAACTATTATATACAAAATGGATAAGCAACAAGGTCCTACTTATGTATAGCACAGAGAATAGTATTCAATATCCTGTGATAAACCATAATGGAAAAGAATAAAAAAAAATATATGTATATACAGGCATATATATATGAGTCACTTTGCTGTACACCAGAAATTAACACAATATTGTAAATACTTCAATAAAAAGTTTTTTTTAAAAGAAAGAAAAACATGAGGTCCTAAAAGACCCCGCTGTAGCGACCACTAGTTAGGGGCCTGGTGCTGACCTCTGGTGTTAGGACTCTTATCTCTCCTTTAGCATACCCCTACCCTGATCTCTGGTCAGATGCCCAGCTCCATCGTCCGGCTGCTCCATGCCCCTGGGCAGACTTCTTTGAGTGGTCCTAAATGGTCTCCGTCCTCCAAGATGCAAGGCCTGTGGGAGATCCTGGCCTCATCACAAATGGCGAGTACGGCATCAGCCGGGCATCTCCTGGGCAAGGAGCCTAGTGTCTGGGCTGCCCCTTGCTGCCTTTCCCCTGAACTATGTCCCAAACCCTGGACCTAGAAGCCTGGGACCTTTCAGGCCTGCATTAACCTAATCTGATGAGTCACAATAATAAATCCTGATTTGTACATCCTGTGAATGATGTGCAGAGTACTTTCTCATCTGTCTTCCCACTCTAGCCCTGCCTCAGCCTCAGAGTTGGGTACCTTCTCCCAACTGATGAGATATATGAGGTTCAGTGACCAAGTGCCTGACCCATGCCACAGAGCCCCTCACTTTTTTGTTCTATCAAAGTGTAATTTTATTCACATGTCAAAGATTTATCTAACTCATTAATAAGGGAACCAAAAAATAGTAAGACTGGTTCAGTGGTTCATTTGAGAGACAAGAGGTCTGTATATTTTGTTGGAAAAGATACACCAAAATAAGTTTGCTAAGGTAGAGGTGAAGATGGTTAATATCTTATAGAGAATAATACCATAAATTTTGTGGTTCTCTACTGGGCTAAATTCCTTTTCATATTTACATACATGCACATACATACTTGTATACGCAGCTACAAGTTAGCATATAACTCTACAAAGTCAGGACCCTGATAAATAGTAAATTGTTGGGACTTTCCCAGTGGCCCAGTGGTTAAGAATCTGCCTTGCCGTGCTAGGGACACAGGTTTGATTCCTGGTCAGGGAACTTGGGTCCCACATGCCGCAGAGCAACTAAACCTGCACTGCAACGAAAAATCCCATGTGACACAACTAAGACCTGATGCAGCCAAATAAATAGTTTTTAAAAATAGTAAATTGTAGAACAAAGGTCCAGTCCCTTGTCAAGTCACTTCAGTCATGTCCGACTCTTTGCAACCCTATGGACCATACGTCGCCTACCAGGCTCCTCTGTCCTTGGGATTCTCCGGGCAAGAATACTGGAGTGGATTACCATGCCCTCCTCCAGAGGATCTTCCCAACCCAGGGAGAATTAAATAACTCTGAGCGCTTCAACCCTGCCCCAGAGTGACACTGAAAGGACACACAGTCCTCCTTTTGCCTATTTCCAAGTTACGGATAATTTTTCTTAAAGCGCAGAACACTCTCCTCCTTGCTCACTCCTCCTGACCGGTGCTGAGCACACTTCCGGTCTCCAGACCCACCAGCTCCTCGGCTCTCTCAGCCCACAGACCTTCATCAGCTTCTGCAGCTGACCACACGAACCAGCCCAGACCGGCCTGCTGGCTCCAGGGTTCAGTTGTCCGTTGGTCCAGAGCAACCCTTACTGAGATGCCTTTTGTGTGTAATAATAACACAGTATTCACAGAGAGTTTTCCCACAGTAGACTTATTTAAGCTTTGCAAGAATTTTAAGTGGTAGGCAGCTGGGCAACATCCACACTCCCTTCTTAAAGATAAAGTTAAGAAAAAAAACCAAACAAAACAAACACCTAAAGGTCACAGTGACTAGAAGAGGCCTGAGTAGGAAGTAGCAGATCCTGGCTTTGAACCCAGGGCCATGTGCTGTCTTCTGTTGCTGCGTCCCCTCCCTGTTCTGCTGACATACTGGGATGGACAGAGTGGTTCTGCCAGTCTCAATTACACTCCCCTCCCTGTTACCCTTTTCGCTGCACCTCTTCTCTGGGGGTTCATCTGCCCTCCAGGACTCAGCCCTTTCTCTCTAACTCCTGAGATAAGAAAATTAACTGTCCTGGGTTCTCTTGCCTTAGGATCTAGCTGGGAAGTGAATGGCTCCCTTCGAAGAGTGTTAATTAATTAATTAACAAAAGGGTGTTAATGACTGATGAAGACCTGGGGTGTCGGGGGCGGGGCGGGGGGGCGGCATTGACACATTGACAGATACTCCCTCAGTGTGGGGGGGTTTTAATAACCCAGCCCACCTCCTCTTCTGGCCTCACAGATAGGCTCCATCATTTCTTCCTACAGCCTGCCGCCCTTAGCAAAGATGGTTACCCTGTCTGGTTTACAGAAAGCGGGAGTCTGGGAGGAGATGGGGATCCTGAAAGAACTTCAGCTTTCACACAAAGTCACACAGTCAATAAAGTGGAAGAGCAAGGACCTGTGACCAGGATTTGGGATTCTCAACCTCTCATGCCCTGGCATCCAGACTGTGTGTAGGTGTTGGGGGAGCAGGCCAGGTGCAGGAAGGCAAGTTACAGAGATATGAGGGGTTACTGAGCCCAGAAGGCTGAGTCTGAAATCTCTCTGTGCCTGGTCAGAGGGACACTCTAAGAAGTTAGTCCTTCCAGAGAGATCTACACACACACACACACACACACACACACACACACAGAGCTTAATGCAGTAAGGTGCATTTCCCTGAACCTCCACAAGAGCCCTGCAGCCCCATTCTCTGGAGTTCTCTCCAGTCTTCTGTAAACTTTCTCCTTGACCCTGACGCTGGATGCCCTGCACCCCAGGCGTTCTTCTCCCTGGGAATTTTTCTGGTTTGCTTACATAGCCTGCCTGACAGAGGCAGGAGGACACACCAGCCCTTCCCACACTCCATCCAGGGCCTGCTTCCCTGCAGGCCACTCCAATGTGCTCACATGGGCAGAGCTGTCCTGATGACCCACCAGCCATAAACTGTTGCTTCTCTGCTTAGACCCTTGGGTGTGTCTCATCTCTCTTGAGTGAGAGCCAAGTCTGTTCCAGATCCCCTGTCCCATTTCCTCCCGATTTCATCTACTGAAGTTGAGCTCCATGAGGACAGAGATTCGTGTCTGTTTGTTCACTGCTGTATCACCAGGACAGTGAATAGAACATAGTAGGGGCTTAATAAATATTGATATTGAATGAATGAATGGTACTCAATGGATATCAAAAGAATAAATGAATCTATCACATGATCAATCAATCAAAGGGAAAACCCATAGAGAGAGGCTGTCAGATTTCAGAGGAGAGGGGTATCATTTCTGGCAGTGGGTAGCG